GCAAATCTCACAATGCCAAGAATTATCTTTATATGGCAACATGAACATGGAAATGCATCCAAAGGTTCCTCATAGAAGCGTAATCGTATAAAGATGGATGCTGAACCTAAGAAGAAGACATTAGGAGTCATGACAAAAACGTTCATAAAAAGAGGTTTGTTAAATGGGACTTAAAAGAGAAGTAACGAAATAGAAGGATGGACGGCTTAGCCAAGCTCACGGGAATAGAGTGGACTGTCACAGTTCAAAAAGGTGACTGTCTATCACTTTCTCAAGGACAGTTAGGGATGGCAATAAATACTGGTCTTGTCAACAGCATTCACATCTAATGGAAGAATTTTAAAAAGTTGCAATAATTTTGATGAAGTTTTGCTGTTGTCTGAAAGTATTTTGGAGTGCGTGTGAAGACTGTAGCAAGATTTTGGAATTGCCAAAGAACATTGCTGTATCCTCACAGGAGGGCAGAGGTGTAAGTGATCTGTCCAAAAGAATGCTGCAGGAATGGGGGTGGCAGCCCCAGTGGTCCCCAAGTCTGCAATACAACTGTGAGAGGTAGAACAAATACTATGGAGAGGGCTGTGGGTACCTGCAGCTCATAACCTGCAGTGGTTCGTGATGGCAGGTCACCACTACCTTCTTAAGGGCTTTTAGGTATGGACACTAAATGCTAACATTAGTGACAAAGAACTGATGATCTTTTCACAGAGTTTAAGATTTTGAGGTTTAAGGAGATGGTTGAAAGTTGAAAAAAGTTGTTGGGGGTTATCTTTGCACTCCAGGATGAAATGAAGTGGAGGAGATTGATGGTGCTTGATGTGGTTGAGCTCGATCACTGCAGGTGGGGAAAAGTAGTTGTGAGCCAGACATAATGGCATATACCACCTGTTATTTATTTTTATGTATCTTTATCCACCGCTGCCCCTACTAGTGCTTTTCTATTGATGATGTCCTTAATCATTACTTTGTTATTTCTATATTTTATCACTCCAATGTCACCATATACATAACTTATCCCAAATTAAGTTGGCTCATCTCTGTCCCGATCATCCACCACCTCAAACCTTGCTGGTACAAATGCATTAAACTTAAACTTCTTGTCAGCATCCTCAGATCCAATCATGGTCTTGTGTCTCACCACTTTATCTGTTCAAATATGTTGTGTCTTATAATGTGTCAGTACTCTTCAATTCTCCAGCACTGCCTCAGAATGTAATGAAGGCATGTTCAATCAATGTATTCAAAAAGGATGTTATTTAAAATGGAATGATATGCAGGGTTATGAGGAGAAGCCAAGAGGATGGCATTAAATAACATGCTCATTTGGAGATCGAGCACAAACACGATGGGCTGAATGACCTTCTTCTGCACTGTAACAATTCTATCTTTGATGGCAGAGCCTTTAATTTGCTTGCTCTTTCTATCTATACTACTCCATTTCTCTCTATCATTGAAAAGATGTAGTTGAAATACCACGGATACCAAAATGTTTACCTTGCAGAGACTAAAACAAGAAACTACATGACAATGCAAACTATTGCCTAATAATAAACACAAATGTTGCTGTTCATGTAGAACAGCCAGAAACTACAAACCGTGTCAATGTAAGTGCCAGCCACAATTTTCTTTAAGGACTTCATATCTATGAAAACACTAAACTGGATCAAAAGTCGAACATGTTCCTTCATTGTGCACAGAACAGACTATATTCAACTGGCCTGCATTTACAAAACTCAAACAAAACATCTACTATTAAATGTGATGCCAAATTAGGCAGCACTTGTTGAACTATGTTTAGTATGC